CCCACCACACCCATCCATTGCGTGAATAAGCGTGGCCCAGACAGGGAGCAACTCGTGGTCAGTCTGTCCGCTCAGCCTCCACCTGCCCCTCCAGAGTCCCCGAGATGCTGCCTTTAATAGAGGCTGCTCTCTCCCACACCAGAGGGGCCCTCATCTCCGAGAGACCTGGGTTCCCAGACTTTACTGCCGAGAGGCGATGACCTAAGCCAGACCTCTAACAGGGGACAAAACAGGTCCACAGAGGAGAGGGCTGGCCACAGGCCGCTCAGCAAATCAGAAGCAGACCCCAGACTGATTCCCAGGTCCCTTCCTCCTCAACCCAGGGCCTTCTCCATTGGCCATCCCCCAGGTGGTGTATTCTGAGGGGCTCCTTGGGGACTTGGGGGGACCACAGGATGGTGTCCAAGGGAGCCTGGTTCACAGTCCAGTCAGGGCACCCCTCCCCAGAAGGGTCTCCCCTCTGTCCACACGCAGAGACCTGTGTTTTATATGCCTCAGGTTGTACTGTGGGAGCTTCGGCCCTAGGGCTTAAAGCTTGTCCCCTGCAGGCGATCCTGGAGCTGGGTGACCCAGTCCACTCGATTCTTCCTCTGGCAGGAAGGGGCAGCCAGGCTCTGAAGTCCTCATAGGGGGGTAGGGGGCAGTCCAGGGAGCTGTGGGGAGGAGGGCTGGGCTGGATGAATTTGACCCTTTGTAAAACCATAAAGATGGCTTCTGGAGGGGGTTTGGGTCCTCCATTATAAGTGTAACACATGTCCACCAAGAAAAATGCAGAATATGAGATAGCAGTGACAGCGGTGCTGTGGGAGGCAGAGAGGAAATGCACTCAGATCCTGCCCCCCAGGGGCTCAGGGGCCAGGAGGCACCCCCTGGGGAAACTGCTGGCAGAGGAGACTAGGGGAGAGGTGACATCCTTTTATAGGGGTCAAGGAAGTCACCTAAGAGGAGGGGTGTTTGTGCTAAGCCTTGAAGAGGAGGTTTCGGACAAGAAGTGGAAGAAGGACATTCAGGCGGTGATAACTATGTGAGCAGAGATGGGCATGGGGCTGGGGTCGGCGGTGGGACGGAAGAGTCCAGTGAGCTGCGCCTATCCCGGGGAGGGGGCACATGGCAGAAGTCGGTGGTCCGGGGCTCGGAGAAGGTTGAGAGCTGACCCAGGGGTTGCTGATTAAGGCATCTGGACTTCGGGGAGCTGTGGAGGGTCTGAGCCAGGGGACGGTAGTCAGAGCCGAGGCTGGGCATGCTGCTGGGGTGTGGAGGGAGGGGGACCAGCGGGGGAGGTGATGCCCCCAACTCCTCTGGCCCCTCTAATGCTGAGGCCTGGAGGACCCCCGGGGCTCCTTGGTGCGGGGTGGGAGGCATGCTGGCCCTTCTCTCCCGCCTCCCCGTGTCCCTGTGTTGTGGCCAGAGGCCACCTCTCTGGCTTCCTCTTCCTTCCCCCCTCCTCCCTGCCTCCTGGTGCAGAGCCGCCAGCTCCCTGCTGAGCTGGGAGTGATTAGATCAGAAGGTGATTTGGGGTCTGATTATCTTGGGTGGAAATTGGCCCCCTGTGTCTTTTTCCATCCGGCCCAGGGCCGGGGAGGTGGGGAGCGGCTTCTCTGTCGACACCCAGGCCAAGCCAACTTCTTCACGAACGTGTTTAGGACCAGCGTGTGGCCTTGTTTCCTGAGGAAAAGCAGCATCTGACCAGCCAGACAGGGGCCTCTGTCCCTCCCCAGCCAGGGACCCTTCACGGGCCACTCCTCCCAGAGCCCCAGGCTTCTCCTCTGCCAGCTGAGGGCCAGCGCGAGCTGATGAGATGATTGCGCATGAAGGGTCGGGGTTAAGGTTGGGGTTAGGATCGGGGTGAGGGCACCAGGCCTGGTGCGGAGTAGGTGTCCTGCAGAAGGTCATGCTGATTACCATCCCTGCCGTCTACACCCTGTGAGTGCGGTGAAGTGTGTTCACCCCTCACCTTTAAAGATCTGCAGTGACCTCACACCACCCACAGGTGACCTCTCTGCGCCTTAGTTCCTCATCCTTCTAATATCACTGATACTTAACAGTCCATCCTGCCAGCCCCGACACAGGCTGAGCCCGCGCTTGAGGAAGCATTTTGTCAGCAAGTCACTGTCGTTCCCGAAGCCCCATAATCGGCCCAGTTTGTGCTAGTGCCCCTGGTGAGGAGAGCGTGCTCCGGGGTCTGCCTGTGATGGGAAGGCGCCAGGCCTGGACCTTCCAGCCTGGAGTCAGTGTTCGAGCGCCTTCTTCGGTCCCCACTGGTCCCTGCGTGGGGATGGGTGCAGAGCCTGCGGATGGGCACGGAGCCTGGGGATGGGCGCGGAGCCTGGGGATGGGCAGGAGCCTGGGGACGGGCAGGAGCCTGGAGACAGGCACGGAGCCTGGGGACGGGCAGGAGCCTGGGGACGGGCAGGAGCCTGGGGACGGGCTTGGAGCCTGGGGACGGGCTTGGAGCCTGGGGATGGGCAGGAGCCTGGGGATGGGCGTGGAGCCTGGGGACGGGCAGGAGCCTGGGAACGGGCTTGGAGCCTGGGGACGGGCAGGAGCCTGGGAACGGGCTTGGAGCCTGGGGACGGGCAGGAGCCTGGGGATGGGCGCGGAGCCTGGGGACGGGCAGGAGCCTGGGAACGGGCTTGGAGCCTGGGGACGGGCAGGAGCCTGGGGATGGGCGCGGAGCCTGGGGATGGGCGCGGAGCCTGGGGAGGGGTGCGAAGCCAACTGCAGAACGCCTCCCCTGAGAGCCTGGGTTCTGGTACGGCTTGCTAGGCTCCAGGCTGCCTCTGGGAGCCTTCATGACTTAGTTTACCCTTCACGGATGGACAGACCGACCTTTACCACCTCAGAGGAACTTACTGGAGAATATCTGTCTGTCTGTAAAGCACTTTAAGATCCTGACATCCTAGAGGCCAAATGGCTGGAGCACCACAAACGCGCGCACACACACAACCAGACATGTATGCAAACCTATTCATGCAGACACACCATCTCAAAATATGGCTCAGGTCCTAGAAGAAAAAGGGAAACGTAGTAGACGAAACCTCTTGAAACACGAAAATAGATTCCTTGCTTTAAGGAAAGTGCTTTCTGCCCTGACTTAGAACCTATTCACTCTTATTTTACATGCAATTCTAATGAGTCTGTCCACCTAGACTTCAAGTCTGAAGCAAATCGGGAGACCAGGAGAAGGCCGTTAGTGACAAATGACCCTGAAAGCAGGAAGAAATGACCATCGATCTTGAGGGGAAAAAAGGAAAACCTGAAAAGAGCAGGAGTTTGAGAAACAAGTATTCAGGGGTGTTTGGTGTCTGGGCTCGGTGGCCATGGCCGCCTGTCTGATAGACCAGATATAATTCTTTCTGTGCAGTCTGGGGACGGCTGGAGACCCCACACCATGCGGGACTGGATTCTCACCTGTCTGCTGAAGGGGGAGCTATGGGCTCGTATAGAGAATTTTCTAGACAGAGCAGTAAAAATGAAAAACCACAAAAAAACAAGCAGCTGACAGGCCAAACTTCACTTCCGTAGGTTCTTTACTAAGCAGAGTGCCCTCTTGTCAAGTAGAAGTTGACAACGAAGACCCCAGAGACGAGTAAAAGTGGAGCTACTCTGCTCAAAGGCCTCCCACCTCCCTCCCCCACAGCTCCCCTCAGGCCCTTGGAAGAATTCCAGGACCCTTTGGAACCCAGTTTCAAAAATCTAAAATTCTCAAAAGGGAGTTTGTAACTTTTCTTGTACAGTGGACTCCTGGGAAGGTCCAGGGTCATCATGGGCCACTGCTGAATAAGTGAAAAAGCTTTGAAATACGTGAAATACCTTGGATCACAAAGGAAGTCAATTATATTGAAATAGTTAAAGTAATTAGAAAAGAATAAATATGTGGTGTAGTAACATGCATTTCTTTATTAGTATACTGAATAACGAGATCCAGCAATCAGTGTAATAGCAGCCTTAGTTGTAAAATAAGCATAAGCCTAAAAAGTATCTTATCTTGGGGGCGTCCCTGATAGCTCAGCTGGTAATGAATCCACCTGCAGTGCAGGAGACCCCGGTTTGATCCCTGGGTTGGGAAGATCCACTGGAGAAGGGAGAGGCTACCCACTCCTGTTTTCTTGGGCTTCCCTTGTGGCTCAGCTGGTAAAGAATCCACCTGCAATGAGGGAGATCTGGGTTCAGTCTCTGGGTTGGGAAGATCCCCTGGCGAAGGGAAGGCTACCCACCCACTATTCTGGCCTGGAGAATTCCATGGACTGTATAGTCCATGGGGTTGCAAAGAGCTGGACACAACTGAGCTACTTTCACTTTCAAAAAGTATCTACAGCAGTTATAAAGAGATATTTTTAAGAAACTGTGATTTTTGTAACATGTGTAATGGTGTTGTGGGCACTGCTGACACTCCTGGAGTTTATTGACTTTGTTCTTTGTTATGGAGGAAAAATGCTAAATTTCAGTTTGATGTCTGTGAAAATAAAGATTTCATTGTTTCCTCATCCAAGTTCACTGAGCCCTGAATTCTTTCCTCAGATCTTTGGGAAGAAAGTGAACTTCATTTTAAGCAGTCCTGCCCAGGGCTTAGTTGGCATTTTTCTTTCCAGCTGCAAAATTAAATAGAAGGAGGTATGGTTCTAGATATATCAAGAAAGGAAAAGACAAGAGTGGTACCTGCTTGACCTGTAAGACAGGGAGAGGAGGAATGAGGAGAGAGAAGAGAGAGAAAGGAACTCTCTAGGAATGGGGAGCAGATGGTAAGCCTGAGCTTTCTAGGGGCCTAAGAGCTGAGTATAGCAGTGTTTGAGTTCCTGGCTCATCACAGCATTGTCCCAAGGTATAGTCATCTTTAAAGGACCCACTACCGTGATACACATTAAACCTTCTGTAGGAGGTGCCCCAGGACCTCGACAGGCAAATTGCCAGGAGCAGACTGGGACCAGATTCCTCCCACTCCGTGGGGGAGGGGGATCTGGGCTGTGCAGTGGTAACTTGGCCTTCATCCCCATCCCTAGGTACCCACGTGATGGAGGGCTCTGGACGGATGGTGGTGACCGCCGTGGGTGTGAACTCTCAGACTGGCATCATCTTTACCCTGCTGGGGGCCGGTGGTGAAGAGGAGGAGAAGAAAGACAAGAAAGGTAAGCCCAGACCCCTCGTGGACCAGGAGAAGAGCTCTTAAGGCCACATTTTTTTTGTTGATTCTTTCACTCAAGAGTTTTTGAGTGCCTTTTATGTCCACACGCTGTGCCAACAGTCACCTCCTGCATCCTTGAGGCCCTGCTTGGGCCAGGAGGCTCTGTCTGTTCCATCTCCAGGGTCTTGTCCCAGTCTCTGTCTTGTCCAGTCATGTCATGGGGGGCTCCCCTTCCCCTCGGAACCAGGCCAAACGTGCTGAGCCTTTTCTTCAGTCTCCAGCCTCAGGTGTGACCTGGTCCCATCATCAGCCCTGATATTGAGTAGAAAACCCCACCTGGGCATATTCCATCACTACTCTCAACTCCACTGGGCAGAGCTGCACACTCAGTGGAGACTCTACCCAAAGGTGATGGGGAGCTTCTGGGGAAGGTGCCTCCAAATCAGCTGTCGTGAGCCCCTCTCTGATGCCCCTGGAGCTGCAATCTCAGCTGAGTTCTGTCTCCTCCTCCCCCAGAAGCAAGTGTCCTCACTCCATGGGCTCCCCTTGGTGCAGCAGTTTGGCAGCTTGGGCTGCAAGTCCTCTCAGAGCATAGGAGGGCTGATTGGGAGACGTGAGCCCCAATCCCATCAGACCGGGCCTAAGTCTAACATCCAGCTTCTGATCCAAAACAGCTGGCTACTTACCCAACACACACTCAGTCTTGGGGACCCTCCCCCTCTCACATCTTCAGTCCTTTGTCTCCTTCCCTAAGCTCCAGAGGAGAGTCCCCAACATCCAGACCTTCTGGAACCCAGGGGAAGGAGATGAGATAGTAGATGACCCCTCTTTTGGTTTTAGGGACAACAGGACTAACCTCCAGCTCTCAGAGGTCAGCCAGTCTCTGGGCCTGGGTTACAATCAAAGGTTACTTGCTCCCAGGGCCAAAACCTGCTTCCTACTGGGGTCCTCCTAAGATTATGGCTGCCGCAGCAGCAGGAGCAGTGGCAGTAAGCTATGATCCGTGCAAGCTGAGGTAGACACTGAGGACAAGTCTTGGCCATGAGGCGCAGAGCGCAGCAGGGTGGCGTCCACACAGTGATGTAGCAGCTGTGGCCACCAGCGGCCCCAGGTGCAGGCAGTTGGCCTCACTGGGGCCTGGGTGAGGGCCAGAAGCACCCAGAAGCTACCACGGGCCAGACCGGTGTTTTTTACAATGCCGATAAGAAAACAGGCCTCTTTTGCCCGGCATGGGTCAGAGTCCCTTTCTGAATGTTTACCTGCCCATCACCGAGATGGGGACAGCAGTGCAGAAAGAAGGAAGAGGTGGGATGTGGAGGGGACATGGCAGAGGAAGATGGAGGGCAGCCCAGCCTCTCAGGCCCCTGAGAGCAGACCCGGGGGGTTCCCAGGGCTGGACCCCCTTAGCGCTTCCATCCCATCACCTCCACCAGGGACGCTGCTTACAACCCTCCATTTCAGGATGACTCTGGGCGTGCTGGAGTGTGTGTGTATGTACGCATGTGCGGGCGGGCGTGTATGTGGCTGTACATGCTTCTCCTTCATTAACATGTCTCAAAAATCATCACACAGGTGTGAAGAAGGGGGATGGCCTTCAGCTACCAGGTACAGTAAGACACCCCTCAGGGTAGAAGGGGCTTTTAGAAGTAGCAGCAGCCATTGACCCCTGAGCCCTGGCCCCAGACCCCCAGCACACAGCTAGAAGGGTACCCGATGGCTGGGGGCTCTGCCCCCCACCCCAAAACTCCTCTGTGGTCCCAGCCCCACAGGACAGGCCAGCACCCCATGCTGCCCTTCCAGTGCTTCCAGGGCGGATGGCACCCCCACTGCTTCCAAATCCCAGACAGTGGCACGCCGTGTGCACTCAGCACCACGTGACCCCACAGAGCCCCTCACCTCACGGCACGGCCAACTCACCCAGCATCTATTCCCTCTCCTTCCCACAGAACCCGTCTCCCCCACCCCAAGAAAAAACAGCCAGAGCGAATTTGAGCATCTCACATCATTTTTGATTTCTAAATTAAGGAAATCTCACTAGAACTCTCTCTGTCTCGTGCACAAGATGCAACATGCCTGATGTCATCTTTTAAGTGGTGGGGCATCTCCTATGGGCAAGACCAAGGCAGCCTTTTGGCGTCAGTCAGGAAAAGAGGAGTTGGCCATGGGCAGTGGCCTGAGTCAAACGCACGAATCCGAGGTCACTGCGGTGAACAGATGTCCTTCCAGGACACAGCAGCCGTCACAACAAACGCCCATTCAGAATGGCCGGCGCTATTACTGCACCCCGTGCTGAAACGACTCCTGGCCATGGGTCCCTCTGGCCATGATGGTCAGCCAGCAGCCCCCCAACCTTCATAGAACCCTCACTGGCAGAGAGACCTGCTCTGTTGGTTGGGACAACGGGATGCCTGGGTCCAGACCTCACACCGACCATCCCACCTACCAACGTGGATCACCCTCCATATTTTATTTCAAAGACCCTCCATGTCTAAGTTTCTGCCCTCCGACTTGTGTGTCATCTCCACAGGAACATTTCACCCCACCCCCCACCCCCAAATTTGAGTTTCTTGATTTCCGGCCAAGATGTGTGTTTCCAACCATAGTCTCATCCCTCCCCGCATGTTGGTTCGCGTCTACTGTTGCTGCCGTCTGCACTGTTGCTCTCCTCCATTTTGACCACTGCATTTTTCATCCCTCCCACCCCCACAGCGGCCGATGGTGCGGCAGGTTCAAATGCTGCAGATAGTGCAAATACCAGCCTAGTCAATGGTACGTCTCCCGCCCTGCCCCCGGTGAGCTCTCGGTCTTGGGCGGTGGGCGCCTCCCCACCCCCAGCTCTGGGCTTTCCCCTCCCTGTTCGGGATGGCCCAGACTTGGATGTGCATGGGCAGCTCGGGGACGGTCGTCCTCTCAAACACGGGGCAGGTGCTTAAGAGAGAAGCCACCCCCGGGCACCCAGCTCCGCCTCCACCAGCGGAGGTCAGAGAGGGACGTGACCCTGGCTTCAGATCTGGTCTCCCCTCCCTCCCTGGAAGCAGCATCCCTCCCCGTGTGGCCCTCTCCTAAGCACATTCCTGGTCCCGGCTTGGGGGAAGAAGGCCTGGGGTCAGGACCGGGCTGAGGCTGGCCTCTGGGTCCCCGGGGCAGGCTCCCATCCTCGACTCACACCGTTCCCTCGAGGCAAGGGGACCCGGGCCGGTGTTCAGCTCCTGGGCCCCTCCCTGTAGCATGGCTGAGCCAGTAGTAGACGTTCTTTCTCTTCTTTTGCGGACCAAACGAGCAGGGGGTTCGCTTGGGCTTGGGCCCAGCTCTGTCCCTCCGGTGTGGACTGGTGTTTCTTGCTGTTGCCTGCGCTGGAGCATCTGTCCTGAGTCTCTGCATTCTTACCGGCCCTCCCAGGGATGGGCGATGGGGGTAAGGGCTGCCACTGTACCTTGGGTCTGCCTCTCACCCTCCTTACACACAGGCAGGAAGGAACTCCATTCACTGGCCTCCGCGCCTTTGGAAGATTTCACACCTCTATACCCTCCCATCTTCTCTGGTCATCCCCGTCCCCAAGTCAGGTGACATAAAGTCACCCGGTCTGCTCCTAAGAGCTTTTAGGGCTCGGTCATGAAACCATTGCCCCCAAGAATTGAAGGGAAGGGAAAGCTTTTTCTTTCCCCAGCGTCGCTCATCCCAGGAACTGGGCAGCAGGTTTCTCATCCATCATATCATTTACTCCTCACCACCCCCAGAAAACATGGAGCTATGGTTCTGCCTCCCCCTCCCCTCCCCTGTCCCAGACCTCTGGCTGAGCCACTCGGATTCAAAGTGACCCAAGACGGAAGCAGCAAGCAGATGTCAGGGGCTGGGCAGCACTCGTCTGTGAGCAGCACCTGGCCAGGAAGGGCTAATTCGGGTGTGGGTCTATTTCAGGCACAGGAAGAGAAAAGAGGACAGCCTGGGGTGTGGGAGGTGTCACATGTGAGGGAGGGGTGGTGCTGGTGCTTTAGTCGCTAAGTCGTGTCCGACTCTTGCCACCCCATGGACTGTGGTCTGCCAGGCTCCTCTGTCCATGAGATTTTCCAAGCAAGAGTACTGGAGTGGGTTGCCATTCCTTTCTCCAGGGGATCTTTTTGACCCAGGGATCAAACCCGGGTCTCCTGCATTGCAGGCGGATTCTTTACAGACTGAGCCACCAGGAAAGCCCTAACAGGGAGAAATGATGAAGGCAAATCCACATGGGAGGAGGGAGAGGGGAAGGAGGAAACAGGAAGTGACGTCCTGCTTCCCCGCACCCTTCCCGGAGGATGAACCTGCTGGGACCCCCATCCAGACTGGTGGGTCTCAAAAAGGCAGCAGCCTCACTTCCAGTTCAAGCCAAAAACCTCCATATATTCCCAAGAAAAACTGTAGGAAAAGATGGGGAAACATCATTTCTTACCCACTTTCTGTGCACCAGGCTCTTTGCAAGCATCTCATTTAATCCTCACGATAACCCTGTGGGTCAGTTTTTCGTCCCCACTTTAAAATGAGGAAACTGAGTCTCATGGAGATCAGGATGCTAGTCCAAGGTCACAGAGCTAGACAGTAGCAAAGCTGGGACGTGAAGCCAGGCCTACCTGGCTCTAAAGCGTGTGCTGCTCTTCCTGGTATAAATGTCACAGTGATGTAGGGACTTTCCCTGGCGGTCCAGGGGTGAAAACTTCATCTTCCAATGCAAGGAGTGCAAGTCCAATCCCTGGTCAGAGAGCTAAGATTCCCACATGCCTCGCAGCCAAAAAAACCCAAAACAGAAGGAGTATTGTTCCAGATTCAATAAGGACTTTAAAAATGGTCCACATCCTCAAAAAAAGAAAAGCTTTAAAAAATAAATAAACTTCACAAGCATGTTAAGAAGTCTTCCGTGCAAGGAAAGGATCCTGTGGTCAAAACTGTTTAAGAACCACTAGGTAGAATTGGCTTCCTCCTCGTTGCAAAAAGACAGCCTCGATTGTGCTGTGGGGTAGAGAGTTAGAGTCACACAGGGCTTCCCAGACTGACGTGGCCATGGGACCCTTCCTGGCTGAATGTCGTGGGATTGGTAGACCCCCCAAATATACTTTGGAGCCGGTGCTCTAAGCTGCTGCTACTTGAATTGTGACTGGAGGCCCGCATGCTCCTGGGCATCTCCCAGGAGCTTGTTAGAAATGCAGACTCTCAGGCCCCACCCAGACCTAGTGAATGAGAACCTGCCTTCTGCCGCGGCCTCTAGTCTCCAGGCAGAGTGCGCTGAAGGCTGAGGGTGCTAAGCTGAGCCTTGTGAGTGAGAGAATGGACCACTCCTTTCCACTCCTTGATCTGAGCCGAATCAGGATGACCTGGATGTGGAAGACACACTCAGGTGGCAGGACGCCCCCTCCTCGCTCCACCCCCGCAAGCCCCTCCAAACTGAGTTCTAAGGGGTGTCCCATCCATTCTGGAGGCATTATAATTGCCATTTTAATTTTATTGTTTCTTTTATATTTATTGACATGCATGCATGCGTGCTAAGTTGCTTCAGTCATGCCTGATTCTTTGTGACCCCATGGACTGCAGCCCATCAGTCTCCTCTGTCCATGGGATTTTCCAGGGATAGAACCTGCATCTCTTGTGTCTCCTGTATTGGCAGGCAGATTCTTTACCCCTAGCAGCACCTGGGAAACCCATTTATTGATATATCACTACTGAATACATCACTTTTAATCACGATTTTAAGTGATACATTGCTCTTAACCCTGGACACTTACAGGGTACTTTGCAGTGCTTTTCATAAGCATCACCTTGGTTGAAATTGTGCATTTCGCAGAGGGACAAAAGTAGGCACGGGTAAGAGAAGTGACGCCTCCCAGTTCTCCTAGTTAGCAGCCTGTCTCCTCAAAGCTTGTTTATTGGGTCTCCTCACCATTGACCCTCCACGTCCAGGTTTTCCACATCCATGACCCTCACAGTGCCCAGAGAGGACTGATCCATTTGGCAAAAATGCACCTGGCATCTGATGCAGAGAGGCCTCTGGGTCTCCACCCCAGACCCCGTCCTGGTTCCTGTCCTCCATCCCAGCTCCCCTGAATCAGCCCATCTTCCAGGTCCCATGGGGAGCGGGCAGAACAGCACCCCACCACTGTTCCAGGGCCAGGGGAGCACTCGTTTGGCTAAGGAGAGCCCCCAAATGAGTCCCTCGCTTCCAAGAAACCAGGCCATCTGCACCCAAGTGCCCCCAGGACACGGCTCCCTCCCTCAGACATATGCATTGTTGATTATTTTTCTGGCCACGTGATCGCTATGGAAATACAAGAGGAAATTGCTGGCTTGGTTAATGGACACACGTGGGCTATTGCATCTGGTAATGTGTGATGCAAACAGAGGTCCCTCTGTGCCCCTCACACCAGCTCCTGAAGCCGAGTCCTCTGGTGCCTTTTAGCCCAGTTAGTGAAATCATGTTTAAACATAAAAACAACTGTTGTGGTTCATTCCTGTCAGCTCCGAGAAGCCTTCTTCTGTGTTGTTCCTTAATCTGGTAGAAAGAATTTTAGAATACGGGGGTGGGGACCTTTCTCTCTCAACCCCAGGGCAGGCCACTGACCCTCCGGCACTGTTGCAGAGATGGTATGGAGCTGGCACCCAGGAAGCCACTGCTTCCCTCTGAGGCAGTCAGTGGAACGTGAATGCGGTGTGGGGACGACAGTGTTTGCAGAGGTCATCAGATGCTCTGTAAATGACGGCTGCCTCTGAACCTCCCCCAGCCCCAGTTTCCTCGTTGTAAAATGAGAGGGATGAAAGCCCCTCCCACCCCGCCTTGCAGGGTACCAGGAAAACTAACAAGACATGAGACACTTGCAAACTGCCAGATGCTGCTGGGCGAGTGGTTATCACAAAAGGTGACTTTTAGGTGCTCTGGGAGGCGAGATGACAACCCCTTCTTATGGAGGTGGAAGCCAAGCTGGGAGCAGTGAAGTCACAGGGCTAGTTGGTGTTGAAACAGCAGCTTCAGGAGCCCAGTCACACCACTGCCGCCTCAGTGCCTACCCCACCGCAGGCTCAGGGGATGGGGGTAGCTGCTTTCTCCCAAGGAGGGGCAAAAATGTGCATATCCTTTGGGGCCAGCTGTCCACTCACCTGCGGAGAGCTGGCAGAGCCCCTGCTGAGTGTCCCTCCCTGAGCTGCAGCTTTTTATCTGTCTGTGGGCATGATCCTGGAGCACCCCAGGAGGGATGCAGTGAGGACCAGCTGAAACCATGGAGGTCATGTATGGGCCTGGACCACGATCTGTGAGGATGTCCTTCACAGTGATTATCCAGGAGTGGTGAGGGGTTCAGCGACCTTCTGAGTCCTCCTGGGGTGGCGAGCCATCGGGTAAAGCCCAGGATGAGCCGGGGGACAGGAGGGTGCCCCCATCCCTGCAGGGCCAGCAGGTGCAGGTAGGTGTCTAGTTCCAGGTAGCAGTCACCAATACCTCCCACCCTGTGAACACAGACCACGTGCTCTGGGCCAAGCCTGGGGAGGCAGCCTGCCACGTGGCCCCGATTACGGGGTGGGGAGCCCCAGTCCCAGCACTAGACAGCATCCGACTCTGATAGAGCTGGGGGTAGGGCGCACCCAGGGGTTCTCACCAAGCCAAATTTGCCTCTGCTGTGGCCCAAACTAGGCAATCTAGAGTGAAGATTTAGTGGAGGGGAGGGGTGGGGTGGCTTCCCCTTGGGCGCCACGGCATGACCACCAAGCCCCCAAACACCTGTGGGTGCCTCCGAGCCCACTGCTGGGAAGCCTCTGCACACCCTTTGCCTGAATCACTCTCAGTGAGGCAGGTGGCGGGGAGGGTTGTCCATGTCGTGGCTTCCTCCTCCACCGCCAAGAGGAAAAGGAACTGGAATCATCTCTCCTGCAGCCAGAAACTAAGGAGCACATTGACCGAACACCTCCCCATTCTAGAATCAACCTCTCTCTCTCTCTCTCTCTCTCTCTCTCTCCCTTTGCCTCTTCTCAGCCCACATAAAGCACCAACCAAATTCCAAACTCATGACTGGGGGCCTGAGATCTCTCATTCCTTCTGCTTGTGTGGTTCCTTTACCCTAAAGGCTGCTGTTTAATCTGTAAAATGCTCACGGCTAACATAACCCCCCAGAAGCCCCCTCTCTGCGCCCTCAGAGAATCAAGAGAGACCCTGCAGCCCCCGTGGGTTTGCTCTTGCCTGGGGGGCCTCCCCGGCATCCCTGTACTGAGGGGCAGAGCCAGCTTGGCCATCCCCACCCCCCAGCTGACATGAATGTCCGTGGCCCTGTTGCGTCTTCATGGTGACCGATGTGTGTTGTCTGTTCTCTGTTGTCTGTTAAAATTCTCTGTCGTGTAGGTAAAATGCAGGATGGCAATGTGGACGCCAGCCAGAGCAAAGGTAACCCTTTTGTATTAACCTGGTCCCTGTGGCCCCTCCCTACTGGTTCTAGGGGCCACACCAGAGGCAGACGTCCACGCCTTTGGGTGCCTGACGTCTCTGGGCGGAGGGGTAGCTGTGATCTCGTGGTACCAGGACAAATGGAAGCGGCACTGTCCACACTGTAGTCCACCCACAAGCCAGTGTCTTCGCTGCTTTGAGCTACATCCCCGTTCAGCTGAAGGCTTAAAGCTGGTTCTTTGGGATCTTTAGGGCAAGGGGTCGGGCTCCAGGCCCACTAGTCAGGGCTGTGCTGAAGAAGCAGGGTCTTGGCACCCGTGGATGAGGACACACTCTTCCACTTTTTAAGCCCCCCTTTGTCCCTTCTCTCTACTGACTACTTAATATTCCAGCAACACGGCCCAAGGACCAACTGGGCAGAGCCCAAGCCTGTGTCTTGTCTGAATGTGGAAAAGCCGAAGAGCCCTTTGGGGAAGGGCTGGCGGACTTGTTCAGGCCCAGAGGCGCCCCCAGCCCATTCCTGCTACAAGTCCAGGGTGGAGCCGTGTCCCTCCGTGCTGTGTCCTGTGGCCCTGGGTCCAGGGTCTCCAGCAAGGAGAGGCTGACCCCCTCATCACAGGGAATCTGTGCCGGCCATGCGGGGGGTCTCAGGCTGGGGAGTGAGGGTCTCACTATGCTCCCCTGGGCAGGGGCGGGGTGCCGACACCCACACCCTGCAGGCTAACCTGTGGGTGTGCATGTCTGTGTGTGTGCACGTGTCTGTGCGTGCGTGTGTGTGTGTGTGTGTACATATGTGTGTGCTCTGCCCCCTGCAGCCAAACAGCAGGACGGGGCGGCCGCCATGGAGATGCAACCCCTCAAGAGTGCCGAGGGGGGAGACGCTGATGACAAGAAGAAGGCCAACATGCACAAGAAGGAGAAGTCGGTGCTGCAGGGCAAGCTCACCAAGCTAGCCGTGCAGATCGGCAAGGCAGGTGAGCGCGCCGCCCCGGCGGATGGCACGGGGCTGGGGGGACACAGGGCACGCAGGGGGGTCCCCGGGGCAGAGCCCTGCCCCTGGCTGGGCCTCGGCTACCTCATCTGCAAAGCTAGGGCTTGCATGAGATCCACCCTTGTCTGCCGCGGCAACCAGTCTGAGTCCTGATACAGCAGGCACCTCAGCTAGCACTTAGACAGGCACAAGAATGAAGCGCGGGCTCTGGGGGCAGCCTGCCTGCATTTTCGTCAAGCTCCGGCGCTGAGGTCTTGGGCAAGCACCTTCACCAAGCTCTGAACCTGTGCTCCCGGTCCGTGGACTTGGGCTCCTGTAGCCCCCACTTCACAGGTTGCTGTGAGGAGTAAAGGAGATTACACGTACAGGCAAGGGTGGTGGCTGGATGCGGGCAGACCCTATAGGAGTTGGCAGTGCAGGCTTTATCCTGAGGACGTTGGGAGCCCTGGAGGAGGTGTGAGCAAGGATGGAGTTGAACTCTACAGTGACCACCCCAGCTGCCATGCACAGGAAAGACTGGGGAGACGGAGGGCAGTGCTAGGAGCCCAGGGAGAAGCCCCTTGTCTGAGCCCCAGTATGAGATGGTTGGATGGCACCGCCGACTCAATGGACATGAGTTTGAGCAAACTCCAGGAGGTAGTGAAGGATGGGGGAGCCTGGCCCCATGGGGCCGCAGAGACTCAGACACGACTGAACAACAACACGAGCCAGGTTTCCCAACCAAGTTGATAGCTACAGGTGACAGCTGATGATGGCCGCTCTGGCCCCCAAAGCCAAGCCCGGCTGCACGGTGAGCCCTGCCCGCCCGACACGGTCTTGGCCTCCTCTCCTGGGTAAGGATGTGGCAAACACCACAGCCTCCCCACCTGGCTGCCTGCTCTTCCACGGCTGTCTCCCAGCTCTAATTATAGGCACCGCAGTGTGGAGAAGAGAGGCAAATTGCAGGCTTGGCCGTCTATATTTAAACTCAGGGGCCTGGTGACAGTTCCCGGCTGCCTGGAGCTTGGCTTCCCGCCCCTGCGACTGTCAGACATGGCTTGAGCTGGCTCTTCGGCTCCACAGCTGGCAGCGGGGGCGGGTGGCGATGGGTCCGGGGATTTCCTCCCTCCCCACCACAGGGAAGGCTCCACGACAGTGTGGTGCTGGAGGGCAGGGAGCAGAGCCGTGGGAAGCATCCCATGGCCTTCTCTGTCCTGGCTCATCCCCTCCACCACTCAGTCAACCCTGCCAGGCGTGGGGCACAGAGTCGCACCCTGCTGGTTCACATCCCACCACTGCTCCTCTCCTGGGATGGATTCCCTGCAAGCAGAGCCTGAAATGGGTGGGCACGGGGTTTGGGGGGGGAGTGCTCTCAGGGGGAGACCTGGAAAGGGCCCGGCATGCCACAGAGCCTAGGAAGAAGCAGACCGAGCCGAGGTTTCCGGAGAAATCCCTGTCTCCACCTGATCCCACAGGGAGCTCTGGAGCATGAACACCTCTGCAGGGTCCGACCCGCGCTGCAGCAAGGCGGCTGGGCTTCTGGACCCCCGCGTCAGCCCCTGGATATTGGCCATCAGATTGGGGTGGGTGGACCTGCCAGGCACTTTTTGACAAGGAGACGCCAGTCTCCTCTGGCAGAGGCTGCAGATGTGGGCAGCCTCAGCTACACCCGCACAGCACTGAGGTGGACGGGGGTGGCTGGGCACATGAGCTGGCAAGAGGGAGCCAGGCGGGTAGCTACCTGCAGGCACTAATTCTCCAGTGCCTCCCTGGCCTGTGGCCTCGGGCACATCACTTCCCCTCCCCGGTGGTGGTGTTCAGTCACCCAGTCGTGTCCGACTCTGCGACCCCATGGACGGCAGCACGCCAGGCTTCCCTGTCCTTTACTACCTCCCGGAGTTTGCTCAGACTCATGTCCATTGAGTCAGTGATGCCATCCAACCATCTCATCCTCTGTCGTCCCCTTCTCCTCCTGCCTTCAATCTTTCCCAGCATCAGGGTCTTTTCCACTGATTCGGCCCTTCGCATCAGATTACCAAAGTATTAGAGCTTCAGCATCAGTCCTTCCAATGAATATGCAGGGTTGATTTCCTTTAGGATTGACTGGTTTGATTTCCTTGCTGTCCAAGGGACTCTCAAGAGTCTTCTCCAGCCCCACAATTCGAAAGCATCCGTCCTTCAGTGCTCAGCCTTCTTTATGGTCCAACTCTCACATCCATATGTGACCACTGGACTTATCCTCTTAGTGTGTTTGTTTGTTTCTTGTTTGCCTCCTCCTCTAGACTCTCAGCTTCCCAAGGGTAGGGACTCTCTTTACTGCTGTGTCCCTTGTTCCTAGAATAGGAAACAGTGTGTGCCTGAGTGAAGGAGGAAATAAGTGGTACCCTCTATACATCCAACAGTGTGAGAGCACCATGCTAGCAGTTCCTTATTCACATGCTCACTCCGCACCTATTGTATGTCCAACACTGTACCTGGCAACTTATATGCATTCGTCGCATTTGATTCTTATAAAACCACATGGAATAAATACACATCCCCATTGTACAGAGGAGGAAACTGAGGCTCTTTGAGGATCAAGCACTTGCCCGAAGGCCACCAAGCTGAGCTGGCATGTGAGCTAGGGCCTGCCTGACCCCGGAGCCCTTGGAGCCAAGGGTTGGCTGGGTCCACATCTCCCTTCCCAGGGCCCCTTGCCCCCAGGAGGCCCCCTGACAGGCTTCCTCCCACGCATGCCGCAGGCCTGGTGATGTCAGCCATCACGGTGATCATCCTGGTGCTCTACTTCACCGTGGACACCTTCGTGGTCAACAAGAAGCCATGGCTCCCCGAGTGCACGCCCGTCTACGTGCAGTACTTCGTCAAGTTCTTCATCATCGGCGTGACCGTGCTGGTGGTTGCCGTGCCCGAGGGGCTCCCTCTGGCCGTCACCATCTCCCTGGCTTACTCAGTGAAGGTGAGGCGCGGGAAGCAGGACAGGCCGGCTGATGCCACTGAGCTGGGGGTCTGAGGAGTGGCTGGCGGGCCAGGGCTGGGGGCTGCGAGGAGAGCTAAGTAGAAAGGAGTGGGCACGTTGGAAGCTCAGAGAGAGAGGTTGCATGCGGGAGCCCCAAACTCACAGGCCTCCAGGAGAGCCACACCCTGGCTAAGGGGACAGCCATTATTCAGCCCAGCCAAGTGTCCCCTTGTAGTGATGGGGTCCAGTGTTGCCAGATCTTCACATTTTTCTAAGAGAAGCCAGAAGGCTGGACTTTATATAAGCTCTCCTGATTTTTAAACACTGACCGTCAGCTCAACTCTGAACAGTAAATTAGATGCAGATGTTCCCTGTACAGTCCTGTCTGACTCTTTGCGACCCCATGTACTGTAGCCCACCAGGCTCCTCTGTCTATATGGGATTTTCCAGGCAAGAATACTGGAGTGGGTAGCCATTTCCTTCTCCAGGGGATCTTCCCCACCCAGAGATGGAACCTGGGTCTCCGACACTGCAGGCAGAGTCTTTGCCATCTGAGCTACCAGGAAAGCCAGACCCACACCCATCCCGTCCCATCAAATGTTGGCTGAAGTGTGGTCATCACACAGCCGTAGGCCCCACTTAGCCGCAGTACTTGGGACTAAGCTTGGAGTTTGCTTTCTAAAGTTCGAAAGAGATAAGCCTGAAGTAAAAAGGATGTCTGGTTTTAGGAAAGCCCCCTCCTCTCAAGAGATGGGCTAAAAATAGAAAGTCTTAAAAGCATTTCAATAAAGGGCTTGCGCTTAGTCGCTCAATCGTGTCCAAGTCTTTTGCAGGCCCCTGGACTGTAGCCCGCCCGTCTTCTCTGTCCATGGGGTTCCCAGGCAAGAACGCTGGAGTGGGCTGCCATCTCCTGCTCCAGGGGGTCTTCCCGACCCGGGGATGGACTCACGTCTCCTGTGTCACCTGAACTGGCAGGCGGATTCTTAACCGATAAAGGGCAGGTGGGCCCAGGAGTGCCTTGGGTCTGGGGGTGCTCCTGAGTGCCACCCTGATAACAGAGCCCCACGTTCCCCTGCTCCCAGGCCCAGGGCCATCGGCGGAGCCCAAACACGGGGATGTGAGGGCTGGCATCATCTTGTGAGCACAGGCATCTGACCCTCTTGGGGGCACTTCCAAGCCAGGTTCATCCCCAGATCCCCATACCCTGGGCTTATCACCTTGCCTCAGCCCTGTGGTTGCCCCAGCTTGGTGGGCAGGGCCCTGCGCTCCTGTTTCCCAGGGCCCCTAGGCCCGGATGTGCCTGCGAGAGCAGAGGCCAGGGCTGTTTATAAACAAGGCATTCGCTCCGAGTCATTGGCAGAGCCGACCGAGGGCACGGTCAGTTTCCAAGCTGGAATTTGGGCTGGGCTGGCCGATGTAATTTCATACAGAAAAGAGATCTCAGGGCAGTGCCAGGAAGTGGCAGGTCTGTGTAAAAGGACACTGTGCTTATCGTCTCCTTGTTTTGGGGTTCTCTAAGAAACTCCATCCCACAAACCAAAGCCCAAACAGATCACAACACAAGGCTGACCGGGGAGTCTGGGGTTGGAGACCTTGTGCTGCTGAGTCTGGACCCCATAGCCACCAGTGGAACTCAAGACCCCCTTAAAGGTCATAAATGGTATCGGGGGTTCACTTGCAGGCCTTGCTGCCTCTACCCCCGTAGTCTGTGTCTCTGGCACCTGTGCCTTCAGCTGCCTTAGGCAGTGTTACTTATACAGTCCCTTGATAAACTGAGGACAGCCCCCACCCGCCACCCAGGAGAGAGGCGAACTCTCCACCTTCTGAGCCTGGCCCTGTGCGTCTGACTCTTTGCGACCCCAGGGACTGTAGCCCACCAGGCTCCTCTGTCCCTGGGATTTCTCAGACAAGAACACAGGGGGTCTTCCTCATCCAGGGAAATGGATCCTTTACCACTCAGCCACCAGGGAAGCCCCACAAAAGCAAGTGCCAGAACAAGGACTTGAACCCTGGACCCTCAGATTAAACGTCTGATGCTCTATCGACTGAGCTATCCAGGGTCCACCAGCCAAAGAATAGAGGTGACACTTAGATCTTCACTGTCCGATAGAGACATGACATTTGTATGATGTTAAATTTCCTAGCAGCTGCATGAAAAAGACAAAACAGAAAGAAGCAGGTGGAAATAATTTTAATACTGTACATTATTGAACCTAATATGTCCAAGTTATTATCAAGTCAACATGTAATATTCAATAATACACAAATGATTAGTGAGATTCTTACATTTCTTTTCATAATCAGCCTTCAAAACCGGATGTGAAATTTACTCTTGTAGCACATTTCATGGGCTTCCCTGGTAGCTCAAATGGTAAAGAATCTGCCCACAATGCAGAGGACCAGGCTTCGATCCCTGGGTTGGGAAGATCCCCTGGATAAGGGAATGGCAACCCACTCCAATATTCTCACCTGGAAAATCCCGTGGACTGGGGAGCCTGGTGGGTTACGGTCTGTGGGGTCGCAAAGAGTCAGAAACGACAGCAACTAAACAACAACAAATGGTAAGAGAAGCTACAGGAGCACAGAATTCTACCAGTTTTCATTTTTTAATAACCTGACCTGCCAGGGACTTCCCTGGCGGCTCAGTGGTTAAGACTCCATGCTTTCAATGCAGGGGTGAAGGTTCAAATCCTTGGTCAGGAAAATAAGATCCTACATGTCGCATAACCAAAAAAAATTTTTTTAATTATTTTAATTGCGCTCCTTTTTTATCCTTGTTATAAAGAGTTATAATGAGGAGCAAGAAAAAGGGAATCAGATTCCTAGGCTCAGACTAGAACATCTGACTCAACCTTTAGCTAAATCCACCTTTTCACATATGTTCTTGCCAGTAGGGTCACTATGTCAGGAGGACCTGCAGTTAAGAGTGGTGGTTCCTTAAGAATCACTTTATTTGCATTATTTGCTTGAGAACCTGGAAGAAGCTAGGAGTGTGATGCTGGGAGGAGAGAAAAGAAGGTGAATATAAGACAATAATTGTAGAGTAAGATTTCAGTTTTGTTATAAACTTAAAAAGAAAAGATATTGTTATGTAAGATACATCAGTGCTCAGTGGTAGAATTATGACTGACTTGTTTTTTTCATGTGTATCTATATTTAAAAGAAATTTGTGATTTTTATTATGCAAGTCATAGTATATAGTCATTGTAGGAAAATGGAAGCTATAGATTTTTAAAAGGAGGCAATAACAATCTCCTATAAATGTATCACTCGGAAACAATGACACTAGTATTTTGGTTTTTTCCACATAGTCTCCTATGTCTATTAATACATACATAACTTACACTTCTTCACTTCTCATGAAACCAAAGTGACCATGAAAGCCAGGCGCCAGTGAGAGATGATACCTTTGGAAAAGAAAAAACCCATAATCAAATAAAGAACTTATTTCTGTTAGGAGGTAAAAGGAAAGTATCTGAAGTACTCAAAGAGGACCCAGCCTTCATTTACCATTCTTTTCGCTATCTTTTCTGCAAAGAATACAGATTACTTCCATAATTGAAATTAATAAAGTCAGCTAATCAAGTCTTCAGTGGCTCGAGTAATTTAAAAGGAGAAAGAGAGAGTGCTGTACACGAAAAAGGACCCCGATGACAGACGCTCTTGGGGCCCAGATCCTTTGCACTGGAGTGAAGCAGAGGGGCAGTTCCGCCTCATTTACTGCCTGTAAATTTACTGCGGTGCCCTCACCCCCGGCCCCAGCTCCCTGTCCTCACTGTGCCCTCTCCCCCGCCCCCTCCTGCAGAAAATGATGAAGGACAACAACCTGGTCCGCCACCTGGACGCCTGCGAGACCATGGGCAATGCCACGGCCATCTGCTCGGACAAGACGGGCACCCTGACTACCAATCGCATGACGGTGGTACAGGCCTACGTGGGCGACGTCCACTACAAGGAGATCCCTGAGCCCAGCTCCATCAACGCCAAGACCATGGAGCTGCTGGTCCATGCCATCGCCATCAACAGCGCCTACACCACCAAGATCCTGGTGAGTGGGCAGCCTCTGCCAGAGGGAGAGGCGTCCAGGGGGTGATGCAGGAGCACCTGGCTGGCGGAGCAGAGCGATTCGTAATTTTAAATCCTGCTGATGTATTTTGAGTGGTCAGATAGTAGGCAGTTGTTTCTCTTTGACCCAGCTATGATGCTTGCGTGTGTGCGTGCTCAGTCATTTTAGTCGTGTCTGACTCTTTGCAACCCCGTGGACTGTAGCCTGCCAGGTTCCTCTTTCTATGGAATTCTGCAGGCAAGAATGCTGGAGTGGGTTGCCATGCCCTCCTCCAGGGGATCTTCCTGACCCAGGGGTCAAATCCACATCTCTTATGTCTCCGACATTGGCAGCCTAACTCTTTATCACTAACAACACTTGAGAAGCCCCCAAAGTGAAAGTGTTAGTCACTCAGTGGTGTCTGGCTCTTTGTGGCCCCATGAACTGTTAACCCACCAGGCTCCTCAGTCCATGAGATTCTCCAGGCAAGAATACTACTAGAGTGACTAGCCATTGCCTTCTTCAAGGGATCTTCCTGACCCAGGGATCAAATCCAGTTCTCCTGCATTACAAGCAGATTCATTACCATCTGAGCCACCCATGGGGGAAAAAAAAATATTACTGTTAATTGTGTTTTTTAGATCCTATCATTTCCCTCCCTACAAAAAAAAAAATCTTTTTATTAGTTAGTTTCTGCTATATAATTACTCCAAAATGTAGTGGCTCAAAAGCAAGCTGTGTCTTTAGCTCGCAGTTCTGTGAGCCGGGAGCTCAGGCCGGGCTCAGCTGGCGGATGCATTTCCCCGCGCATCCACCGTGGGTCACGTGCACGGCTCTGCTGATCTTGGCAGGACTGTAGGCTGATCTGGGATGACCTCAGCTGGCATGGCTCATCTCTGCTCTGTGTGGTTCCGCCTCCTCCAGCAGGCTCGGCTGGGCGCTTTACGTCATTTTGCCGCGTCCTATTGGCCAACAGAAGTCGAGAGGCCTGTTCAGATTCAAGGAGCAGAGAAATAGACCCCATCTCTAATGGGAGGGACTTCAAAGTCACATTGCAAAGGGCATGGATTCAGAGAGGGGGCTCACTGTGGCCATTTACACAGCCTACCACCAGCGACAGTGTAGTTATTAGTAATAGTAGGGGCATTAACTAGTTTTAAAAAGAAAAAAACGCTCATATTCCTGTCTCAGCCACCTAGAGTCATCATGCTAGAATCCCTGTTTGGTTCAGAAGCACAGGTTGCCGTTTTGTGATTAACCAGCATTTGGAGCAATACATACCGGTCCATCCAGAGCTCTGTCGGCTCCCAGATGCAGGACATTCCTGCAGAGCGAGTGTCTGAGAGGACAGCTGAGCTTTTCTGCCTGCCCTGCCAATGTGGCCTGGCTCTGACCTCTCCTTCTGCCGCTGAGCTAGCCTGAACCTTCAGGATCAGACTGGGCTGCCAAGTGCCAGAGTGTGAGTCAGCAGCCAAGGGCCAAGGGCTGGGGGCAGGGGGCGGGGAGGGGGGTGCGTCGTCTGCTGGAGGGAGGCAGATTCTGCCTCCAGACACTTGGGGCTGCAAGAACTGTCCCGTCCACTGTGGCCAAGCAGCTGCCCCATCAGCCCAGAGCTGCAGGGCTGAGGAGGCAGCCCTGACAGGAGGAGAAAGTAGGTCGGGAGAAAGCGTGCAGATGGGTGATAAAGAATGCTGGGGGCGGGGGGAGTGGAGGAGGGGGATGCCAGAGATGACGGCATTTTTGTCTCCTTCCACCCCTCCCCCCACCTCCCAGCCCCGATCTGGGAAAAAAGGGAGGTGGAGCAAGGCTTTATTCTGTTCCTCAGGCCTTCCTAAAATAACCAAGATGCCGTTAATGATCTCGTCCTGTAGATGTTTCAGAGAAGGGAAGAGGGCAATTCCCAGAGCAGGCTTCGGGCGGTGGGGGCGGCCGTGTGGGCAGAGCCCTGCAAGATGGGCTTGGATGAAGATGTATGTTATGCAATTACAGTTAAAAAAGGAGTTCTGGGATCTGCCAGGAGGGGCCACAGAACATCTCTGCAGCAAGAAGGATCTATTAGGCAGTGTTTCACAGTGCCAGTGGCAGAGCCACAGTTCATTTCCAGATGTGGTTAACTAGACGGTGTCCAGTGGCTTCAAAGACAGGGGTCCTCAAGTCCACCTGGGGGAAAGGGGTAACTGCCAAGACTGGAAGAAATCAGGGAGCTGGAAACTGGGATTCTTGGTTTGTAAACAGACCAAGTCTCTGACCTCTCAAGCACCAGTGTCCCCTTCTGTGCCTTGAACCCTGGCATCCTGGGACCCTTGCGCCTCTCTTTCTGGGGCTTCCTTGAAAGAACCCTGGCCACACGGCTCTCACTTCTGTGAGCTGATAGCCATCAGTGTGGAAGGAACAGCAGAGGCCCCTGGCATGACTGGGTGCTGGTTAAAGCCCACAGCCTGGAGCCAGACAGCCTGGGTCCAAATCCCTCACTAGCTGTGTGACTGCGGACAAGTTACTAAGCCTCGCTGTGCCTCAGGTTCCTGGGGGAAATGATAGGATTATTGTGAGGATGAAATGAGTTACTAAGTGGAAAGTGCTTAGCACATATTCAGCACTCAGGGTGGTTAGCATTTTTGTTTGTCAGCAGTAAAATCACCCATTTGTAGCCATGCAGAGGCTAATCAATAAATGAATAGGCAACAGAGACATCCGGGTTACAGATGAAAGGGTTTTGCTCAAAGTTGGTGGCAAAGCCAAATTACAGATACCCTAAAACCAGCTATCGAGTAGGGTGCCCAGATTAGGTTCTTGGTCCTTGAAACCAGTCCTGCAGCATCTTTAGTACTGGTTGGTCTCAGGAAGGAAGGCCTGGAGCCCAGAGGGTCAGATTCACAGCCAATACTGTCAGCCATATGGAGAGAAGGGGCTCCCAGGGCCTGCCCTTGTAGTCCTAGAGGAATTTTGAGAAGCATCATGGGCTGCTCGGTCCAAAATGGAAGTCCAGACCAGGCTGGGAAATCTAGATGTGGGACACCTTTACCATGCAAGAGGAGATGGACAGGAAAGGCGCACAATGTCCCCACAATACCCACCAGCTTCAGCTGGGAAATGAGCCTGGCCTGGGAAACAGATCCTGGCCAAGGCTTGTTCTCCCCTGTAGGAGGGTGCCGATTCTTCTGTGTCTTCACGTGGTCTGATTGCAGGCTGTGTACTCTGAGACACAGCTGAGTTACTTCCGCTCCCTCCAGCATAGGCTCTTGGGAAGTCCTAGTTGGGTGGGTGACATACGTGAATTGACTGGTGAATAAATATAGAGATGTGTAATCAGTGAGATGAGGACTAGGTAGGGAGACGGACGGATGGATGGTTGATAGATGAGTAAATGGATGCGTAGGCAGATGGATGAATGTGTGGGTGGTGAATGGATGAGTCTGAATTGATAAGAGGCTCAGGATAGGGCTACCTCCATGTTCTACTTTCCTATTCTTATGGCAGCAAGAAGTAGGAGTTGGCCTTGGCCCCAGTCTAAGGCTAACACCCAGGCTCTCTTGGTACCTCCAGCACGCCGAGGAAATCTTTTCTGAAAGTGCCCTCACCTCTCTACTCTCCATTGATCCACACTTCCAAATTGACTCATGACTGTTATTCTAAAATATTTAAAAAAAAAAGGAAAAAACTAGATGCATATTTGAAAGGGTAGTTTGTGTAGGTGTAATCTGCATGGATTTGCAGACCTTAGGGACCACCTGGTCCAGCCCCCTCACTTTACTCTGAGGCCCAGAAATGGGAAAGGACTTGGGCCAAGTCACCCTGTGGGTTTGTGGAGTTAGAATCCATATGTCCTGACACCCAGTCCAATAAGCAACGGTTAGGAGCTTTGGCTCTGAAGTCCAACAGACCAAGGTTGAAACTTTAGCTCCAGCACTCACCACCCATGTGACCCTGAACAAGTTACCTAACCTCTCTAAGCCTTTGCTTTCCAATCTGTTAAATGAGTGTACAGTTAATCATAGTCACTCGTATTCACTTAGCCAGACAGAGTGCTGAATGCTTAACCCATGTTGGCTTGTATGAAGACCTGGTGAAGTAGGTGATGTCACGTCTCCAACTCGTAGATAAGGACAACGAAGCTGGGAGGAGTTAAAGAGCATGTCCAGAGACGTTAAAGAACAGAGTCCCAGAGACGATGAGAGGCGGAGCCAGGTTTCAAACCCACGTCCGTCCAGTTCAGAGCCTGCACAGCTCGCCGCCGCTCCATGTCCAGCTCTTCTGGCTGTGCACATGCCTTGAGGCAGTTCCCAGGGCTGCTGTGAGATCAGATAGGAGGGTGTATGTGTGGTTCCCAGGGTAATGCTTGACATGTAGCAGCTACTCCGTCCGTGTCAGTTACTCTTATTACCTCCTTTATTATTTCTGAGCCTTAGCCTCCATAGCCTGCTCTTCCCGCCACTGTCTAGCTTGACCCTCCACATCCCTTCCAGGTGATCAAGGCCAATGTGACTATTTTCATCTTGCAGCTGAGACGACAGCTGCAGCGGCAGCAGGTGTCCTGACCCAGGTTGCTCCTGACACCAGGGGGCAGAGTTGAGCCCAGAGAATCGTGGCGGAGTTGACCCAGCACGTGAGGAGGTGCTCTGGGCAGGGCCACACAGCCTTGCCAAGGCCTGGAGCCCTTTTAGAGATGAGACGGTCTGTGGCCTGGGCGTTTCCCGGGCCACAATGGTGAGCAATGAGGCTGGGAAGGCTGAGGGCGAGCTGGGGCGGCAGCAGTTACGCCCTCAGTGGACTTTCTCCTCATGATGCTCAGAATCACCCAGGCGCTGGCGGAGGATGGTGTGAGAGTGGAGGCTGCGGGGGGAGACCAGGAAGCCCGAGCAGGAGGTCCCTCTCCGGGCGCCAGCCTCCACCACACGCCCCATCCCTTCTGAGGACGGCAGAACTGTCTTCTTTCCACTCCTGTTTCTAATCACTGGCAACTAAACTTGCCCTCTGAGGGAAGCGACATGAATCATCTTTTAGTC